GAAGGGGTTGAAAAAACAAAAGAGCTCACGATCAGCACTTGCTTTCCGCATCGTGGGTGAATACTGCACTATGCTTGAGGAATATGAGTCTGTTGTCGACATTACAAGGCGGGGTATCAAATCAATGGCCGCCGACTACAGCTACACAGGGCTCGCACTTCAGAAGTGAGTTTATACTTGGACACTAGACTCTGGGCTTTACTTATATCTACTTTCTTAGAAATTCAGATTCTATGAAAGTAATTCTGGCAAGGGCCTTGATTCATTACCAGTCTCCGAAACATCACGACGAAGCAAAGGCTTTATTCGGGGATGTGCTTCAACGGAATTCAAAGTATGGATCTGCTCTCGTTGGTTTAGGCTTGATCCTTGAGGAGCAGCATAATTATGTCGATGCTGCCGATTTTCTAGGACAAGCCTTGGCTTTAGACCCTGGTGATTTGAAGATAATGTCGGAGGCAGCGTGGTGTGATGTGCTTAGGGGAAATTTCTTGGAAGGGTTGAGTAGGTTGAAGGGGTGTTTGGGACAGATAACTGGTGTTGATGCTAGATCACGCGATTTCAAAGCCCAAGTGCTATGGAGAATCGGACAGGCGCTTTGGGGTTCTGATGGTACGATATCCCCTATCTTTGGAAGGTTTTCGGTGCCTAATGTGCATTATAGAACAGTGTAGAGCCGACCGGAGTGGGCCTTATCATTACTTTAGATCTGCAATTGAGAGTAATCAGAACTTTGCACCAGCCTATACCAGTCTGGGAATTTACTACCAGGACATCGAAGGAAATTCGGGCAGGGCAGACAGATGTTTTCAGAAGGCATTTGAGATCTCAGCTGGAGAATTGGAGGCAGCCGAGCGTCTTGCTAGAAACTTTGCCGAGAGCCGGGAGTGGGAGTTGGTTGAGATTGTGGCAAGAAGGGCCGCTGAAGCCGATAAGAAGAGATCGGTACCAGGGAAGGGTGTTAGTTGGCCGCATAGTGCTATTGGTGTTGTAGAGCTCAACGCCCAGAACTTTTCTTTGGCTATACCTGCTTTTCGAGCTGCTTTGAGCACTTCACCTAACGACTTTCATTCGTTGGTGGGCCTAGGAGAGGCATATACATCAGCGGGAAGGTACGTTTCAGCCTTGAAGGTCTTCCTCCGAGCAGAGGCCCTTGATCCGACAAATTGGTTCGCCAAGTATATGTTGGCCAACGTAAGGCGTGAGATTGGTGAATATGAGGAGGCGTCTATTGGTTATCGTGCGGTGCTTGAGTTAAGACCGAAGGAGTTTGGCGTTCTTGTTGCCTTGTCAGAGACCCAATTGGCCTCTGCATGGCATGATATTGAGGCCGGATATTTCGGACGTGCTGCAGATAGTGCCGTTGAAAGCTTGGAAGTCGCGCAAAAGATTTCCGGAGAGAGGCCAGATGCCTTCAATCTCTGGAGGATTGTTGGAGATTGCTGTTCAGTCTTTAGCTGGATACAGAGTTTGGTAAACCGCATGCCTAGGGGTTTGGTTGTGCAGATACTCAAGACCGAAATCGACTTGACCGAGTTTGACATCCTTTCAGAAGTTGATGGTGTTGGTTCTCAGGCCTTAGGCGATTCCGAAGTTGATGGTCTCACCTTGTGTTTGAATATGGCAATACTGGCGTACAAGAGGGCTATTTATGCCAGCGCGGAGGATAGGCATGCGCATGCCGTCGCATGGTTCAACCTAGGCTGTGCAGAATATAGATCCTACGTTATTTTACCCGATAAGCCCATGAGACATAGGATGGCGGCCATTCGGTGCTTTAAGAGGACTATCAAGCTTGAGCCCGGGAATCATGAATTCTGGAATGCGCTAGGTGTTGCTACAGGGGAGCTCAATCCCAAAGTAGCTCAACATGCTCTTGTGAGGGCATTATATATTAACGAGAAGAATGCTAGGGTTTGGGCGAATTTGGCGACATTATATCTCTTGCAGAATGATATACAGTTGGCAAATGAGGCATTCTCTAGAGCTCAGAGCGCCGATCCTGAGTATGCGCTGGCGTGGGTCGGGCAAGGCATCATTGCTTCGTTGACAGGTAACGAAGCAGATGCGCAGGACTTATTTGAGCATGCCTTTGAGATAGCGGACAGTTCTTCCGTGAGTATGATATAACCCGAACATGCAGGGCATAGGCTAATCTGTGGCAGTCACTTGTGAAACGTCGATTTTCAACGGCAACATTTGATAAGGTCATTCAGTTGCAATACGAATCTGGACTGGTTTCTCTGGTAGGGCCAATATTTGCATTGCAAAAACTACGACAAGAGATATCCGATGAGCCTATTACGCTCCGCCTAGCGGCACTATTTGGCGAGCGTGTTAAAGACTTTGTATCAGCCTCAGAGAAGCTCGAGGTCGTCTGTGAAAAGGTGGAGCAAAAATACGAGACTACAGAGTCAGAGGAGGACCTGGTTTGTTATGCACAAGCGAAGGCAGATCTTGCCCGGGTCAAGCTCGGCCAGGAGGACTACGAGGCAGCGGTAGAGAATGCCACTCTTGCTTTAGATATCTCCGGGGAGATATCGAGACTAGAAGATTGCCGGCTGTCGGCACACCTCACGGCTGGTTTGGGATATTACTATTCTGGAAACATGGATGAGAGCTTGGAGATGTTCAAGGCTGCGCTGAATGAGTCTTCGGAAAACCCAGATGTGGTCTGTTTGCTTTCTCAGGTTCTCTGGGCGAAAGGCGGGGATGAGGAGAGGGATGTTGCAAGGAAGCTGTTATTTACTTGGTTAGTAATTCATTTATACATTTACCTTGGAGAATTGCTGACATGAATTTGATAGTATCGAAAGAAACCCTGACCATCTTCAGTCTATAATGCTGCTCGGAGCCATCGGAATTTTAGACAACAATGAAGATGTCTTGGAAGCCGTTATGGATGATTTACAGGCTGTTCGAGGTAGAGAAGGTTTAATCAAGGCTTCAAAGCAACAAGTTGATAGCCTACTCACCAAGATGGCTCAACTCCAGGTTAGTTCTTTCAGCCATTCTTTATACTTGGTCCCACTAAGAGGTTTAATCCGTGAAATAGGAACGAGACGACGCTATAGCAGTAGCCACAACATCCATCTTCATCCAGCCATCTCTTTCGAGCGCATGGAACAATCTGGCAAAGCTAACTGATGGAAATGATCACGTCATGGCGATGGCGCTCAAGGTGGCGCAGGAAAGCAAAGCGTTAGACGCGGAAGAACTGTCATTTGCCTATGCTCAACAGGGTATTATGAGCTGTAATCAGAGGGCAATAATCATTGCTCCATGGAAGGTCGATGGGTGGGTTAACCTTGTGGAGGACGTTCAGGCTGCTGCCCTGCCCAGATCAGCGGTGGATTCTAGCTGGTATTGAATTAGCCCAAAGGGTTGGCTTTTTTTTTCTTTCTTTTTTCCGGTAGTGTAGTATTATCAATGCCGTACACAAGAAAAGAGCTGGGCAGAGTACGGAAATGTTTGCTTCACATTTTGCTACCAAACCCCGGGATTTGGGTTAGTGGTTTAGCATTTGAAAATTGGAGGTTGATTAGGTGTAGGTACAGTACCCAACTGCTATTTCGCGCAAAATTACGTTAGAAGTGTGGGAGTCGAGATGTGGGTATTTGAGCATCGCATCACCAGGTGAGATCAGCTGTCGTCACGAGCTATCAATCGTGCGTGGTTCGCGCTTAATCCCACGGCCAAGAGTGGAAACAAAAATAATTCACCTTCACAAAATACACGGGCGGAAATTTTGGTCCCGAGAACCCACTTAAGCACGTATCTACCGATGATGCCTGCACCCAGTTGAAAACTGAGGCTAGACTCAAATCCATCGAGAGTCCGTTCACTAACTAACACAGCCCCACCCGCCCCCCTTCTCCACCTCTTCCTCTTTTAACAACAAACTACAGACACCCTCGGGGTCTGTTGGGAGACGTTAGGAAGTAGGCTAGAGTGGTCCCGCGTCAGGCTCTCAAATATGACTTCCAGGGCCTTGGGGAGCCGCGATACATTGGGGACCGAGGTAAATACTGTACTCGGAGCAAAGAAGCTTTGCTGACTACTTGGGTGTGGGAAATGTGCGGAATGGAGCCATACTATCATACTAGCCGGTCACTTTGTACTGTACATGGAGAGATAGGGCTATTGCTATTTTGACACCTAATTTAAGCACGTTGGGGGAAGATTTGTTGCCAACTCTCCATCCATACTGAAAAATGAAAACCTATTCATCATCCACTCTCCGGGTCGGGGGGTGGTTTGTTAAATGTTTGTATCTGTCACACGGGGCTTTTCCCATGTACGATAGTAGTAGCGCCGGACCTCCCTAAAATATGCGAAATATTTGGGTGGCAGAAAATAGACCAGAGGGAATCCGTCGCTTTTTCATGATTCATCCGGTTTCGCTGGGTGGATAACTTCCAACTTATGCGGTATCCTGCATAATCTAATTCGGAGCGTCCCAGTATGTAATGTGAAGTCATGCTATCGTATCTGGTAAATCACCGGGCTTGGCGATGCTATACCACCTCTTCTCGTACCGGCCAAGCAGCAAAAACTGCCATGCACAAGCACCAACCCTGATATATGGAGGTTCGGTACTACATATCCATCTGTAGTGGGCACGTAGGGTAGCTTCCAAAGTCCCCGGTATATGAACAAGTACACAGCTTATGGAGCTCTCTCTTCAGGGGCGGGATGGTTTATGACATCTATTTTCTCAAGTTGGCACAGGCTCTATCCCAGAAGGCATACCCCGTCTCTTGACTTGGAGCTCGAAAATACTGCTGTGCGGTCTTGGTAAACCATGTCTGGGGATAGGCGGGATCGGATGGACTCGGAGGGTTGCGGTAATATCGGTATGCCGCCTGACAAATACTATACATTAAATTTTTGAAATGGCGACAAGTGTCTATCGAGTGATGACCAATGATCCCTCAAAACGATAAGCTTCAGAGCAGGCAATCTGCGGGGTGGATTGAAATGAGGGTCCTGGTACTGACGGTATTCGGAATTAGATGAGCCAGCTCTTTGCGATGACGGGCGCCCCTAGATTTGTGGGATGCTATATTACCTGGAGGTCTTGATTCGCACTCAACTTTGCCTTCATGGGTATGATATGACACCTAGAATTGCTTGGGGTGGCTTCGTTCCCACGTTTGCTCCTTCCCCTCTGCCCAAATTGATAAAGGCGCTGAATTTGCGTGCCTGATCTACGGAGGGAATGGATGTGCGAAATGCGATTTTGCTAACGGTATCAGAAATAAATGAAGGAAGGAAGGAAGGTTGAACGCTCCAGTAGAGGCTCACCACTGCAGAACAGACCTAGCTTATATCCGCGCATTCGATACCCCCAGACATACCCTGGATCTCGGGTCCACCGTGTGAACTGTCTGATGCTGTGGGAAGAGTGGGGAATTGGAAGGGGGCCCTGTGTAAACCGTGGATTGCTTTTTTTTTCTCAGGCACTTTCGAGGTAGCTCACCCGTACAGGTGAGTGGGCCTGAGCTGTGTGATGGCGATCGGTGTTTTTGATGTCACAAGGTTGTGTTTTATTACTGGGAAAAGTGGAGTTTAGCAGGGTCTATCGGGTGGATATTTGGAAGGATTCACAACTATGCAAGGAAGAGCTGGTCAGGGCGGGGTGTGTAAGGGTTGTAAATGGTGGTATTGGTGGCTAAAGTGCAGAAACGACTTTTTTTTTTTTTAGGGGGGGGAGTAGGAACTTGCACTGTACAATACAGTGGTGATCATTTAATTGTGGTTTAGGTACGGTACAAGATATGCAGCACTCCACCGAAAGAATATTTCTTTTCTTTTCATTGCCGTTCTTGGTAAAGAAACAGGTTGCGACTATTTACGAGTGCGAGCACGTGTAAGAATAAGCGGTGGTTTTGATAGCGCTGTCCCGAGTGTCCCTGGATGGCAGAGGTTTTCTTTCGGTTTGGGCATCCAATTTCTCATCGGGTTGGCGCCGGGGGCCTCCTGCACTGCAGTACGAGTACTGTAGTAGACTACTAGTAGTCACGTGAAACTTCTCTCCCATCAACTCTGGTCTGTAGATGGTTCTTGCGATTTTGCTGGTATTTGAAAGGAAAAATATACTCGAGTACAATAGCATAACCATGCGTCCCCCGTTATCATCTTGACAGGCAGGTTAAATACAAGGATAATAGTGAAATCAAGAGTAAATTCTGGCAGCCTCCGGGAACAATTCTGCCAACTCCACCTGACCCGAGTCAACCGCGGCTTTAAAAGGCGTCGTCCCGGGGCCATTGGTGATGTCAAACTTAACATCCTTCCTCGCCACCAGGGCGCGCACCATGTGCTCGTCCCCCCAGCGCACAGCGGCATGTAGGGGAGTGGACCCAATTGAGTCCTGAGCGTTAACATCAATGCCGGGATGCTCTAGAATCATGCGGAAAGCCTTCTCATTGCGCATTCCGATCGCCAAATGCAGCGCAGTCCAGCCGCTCGGGCCAACGCAATTGACATCGACCCTCGGGTCTTGGATTAGGATGCGCAGAACCACGCGGAGGTTTCTACTGACGGCGTCGTGAATGGGCGTCCACCCACTCTTGGACGGACAGTTGACGTCAACTCGCTTATTCTGCAGGAGAGCTCTAAGCGTGGCCTCGTCGCCCTTGCGGACCAGGTGCCGGATGGGAGACTCTCGCTTTTGGTCCTCGACGTTCACATCGGTGTCCGGCCTTTCCAGCAACATTTTTAGAGCTCCCAGTCTCCCCATCCTTGTGACGATGGACAGCGGCGTGCGCCTATCCGAATCCCGAGTGTTCACCGCGACCCCGCAGTCCAGCAGAGTGCGGAGCACCGGATCCGGTTGCGTGACGACAGCGCTATTCAACAGTGTGCCGCCCCCCACATATTTCAATAACCCGCGCTCGAGCAATCTTTTGACTGTGGCCTTATTCCCGCGCTCGGCGGCGAAGTACAGCGCCCTCAAGCCGTATTCCTCGCAGAGGGCGCGGTTGTCGCGGAAGTTATTTATGAGCAAGGGAGATAGAAGGGCGTGTGTGAAGTGGTTGGCCCGCAGGAGGGAGAGGAGAGATGGTGGGGGCACGAACCCGGCAACGAGGAGGAGGACTTCGTTTGGGAGCTCGAGGAGTTTCATCATGGGGTTCGTGTGGCCGGGTGCGTAGGTTGAGTGGGGGGGTGTCGCAGGTGAAGCTGTTGAAACCAGATGAGGTAGCAGGGCTGGTGAGCCAAGACTTTGCCAAAATGGGGAAGTCGATACCCCAGTAAGTTACGGTGTCATCATACACGAGTGGAAAAGAAGGAGGAAACTTTGAAGCTCGATTTCGCCCGATAGAGGATCCCTGGAAGTAGGATATTGCCTGTCGTGTACAAGTATAGCCCTGCAGTAAGGCTTATGGCATGTGCTATGGTATGTACGAGTATGACACTCATACACAGCGAAACGGATGCAGAATTGTTTTTTCCAGCAGCGGTTGTTCTCTCGCTTCGGCGTCTCGCCTGGGTTCCAGCAATGTATCTATACTGTACTGTACAGTACCACAACCGCCTTCTCGAGAAAGTTGACTCGATGGGGAAGACGTCTGCGAGCCGTTCATCCAAGACGGTGCGGTTAACTGTATCGTATCATAGCAAGTTTTCTCGTAGCTTAATCATTCCTTCATGATATTATGACTGCCGGTAGTGCGTGCTTAAGCTTTCTGACCTCCAATTTATTGTAATGTGGTCTCGTAGGAACCCCTGCTGCCAGCCATTGCCCAGTACTGTACCGTGCAGTACCGTGTTCTTTGTCAATTCCAGTCAGAAGGGTCACTGGTCGCTCGCCTAATTATAGTACTGTACTGCATGCTCAGCCGTTATGCCCAGGAGGGTCTGGGTGTGCGGACTGCAAGTGATTTGGTAGGAGGAATTCCACCTCTATGCACTCTCCACTCGGTCATACAAGCATCTATCCTCGACGCTCGAGGCCTAGCACAGGAACTGGGGGTTGGTTGCGCAAAGGATAGAAAACATGTTGCTGAATTTGGTACATAACTTACTGTATATATGTTCAGCTACTATGGTTTATCATAGCTGGTGGCTAGTACAGCATATCGCTCTACAGCGTAGCACCGGTATGCCATTGCCAATGTGGGAGGGGAAGGGAGAGAGGGAGGCGGGAGCAAGGTGGTTTAGCAACCTTTTCTCCCTCTTTATTTCTTCAGGCCTTCCGGTCCATCTGCTAGAGCCTGAATGGGATTTGTGAGGAAGCTGAAGAGATTGGACTCCCAAGAACCCTACCGGTATGACACAGCACAAGTACAGTACTGATGCAGGTGCTGTACCGGTACAACACTGGGGTAATAAGTTACTGTACGAGTAGCGCGCATGTACTTACTTGTACTAGGAGCGGTACCAGTGTAAGCGCCTGAAGCCCTTTTCACTTCATCTCGTTTGCTCATTACCCGGCCCATACCAGCACTTGGCCTCGGCTGGTCGTGATGGGGTGAGGAAGATATGATAATAATATTATTGTGACAGAGATTTGCAGTCAAGGTCTACTCCAGACCCACTTGGTATCGTACTTACAGCACTCGAGTACTAGTACGAGTACAATGACAGTATCATATCTTTGAGACAGCGCTGGTTTGGCTAAGGTTTTGCACACCATATATGGAGGAAAAACAAACTCATCTGCACCGCTCCTACATCACCCTCTTCCGCCCTTCTATGAGACGTTACCACCTTCTTCCCCACAACATACGGGCCCCACCGGTATCCCGATTCTTGCAGCTATGATTTTCAGATACCGCATTGCTCGGGAAGCCTGGGGTAGCCGTATCGTTGTGGGTCGCCTTCAGATGTTTTCACCGTATTCTGGATAGCAATCTTATGCTGACAAACTTCTCATCATTCCAGCCCGGGATCCTCCAATCGTCGTCCGTACTTGCCCGGCAAGCTTTGTCCCTCTTTCGCCCAACGGTCCTAACGCCCGCCACAACTACCCTCCCTCCACCATCAAAGGAACAAATTCAAGCCATCAAGATCATACAGACTAGCCGAAGCAATATCCTTATCAATGCGTGTGCGGGTTCCGGGAAAACCACCACAATCCTTCAGCTGGCCGCCGCGTCGCCGGACCAGAATTTCCTGATCCTTGTTTACAACACTCGCTTGATGATGGAAACCAATCAACGCATTGCAAGCCTGGGACTGGAAAATGCCGTTGTTTACAATTATCACACTCTCGGTCATCGGTTTTATTCCCCCAACTGCGATACCGATCAAGGTCTGAAGCGAATTATCCGGGATAAACTTCCAGTTATGGATGGGAAGAGGCTTCCGCTCTGTGATGTTCTTGTGCTTGATGAACAGCAAGACATGACACCTGTCCTCAAAACGTTCATTGATACGGTAGTACGGGACATTGAGGGTTCGAGCGGCGCGGGAAAACGGATTAGTCGAGTTAGGCATGTGCTGCTCGGGGATATACGGCAGGAATTGTATGGGTTTAACGATGCCGATAGTCGCTTCCTGACATTAGCACATCTCAAGGAGTTATTCGGAAATGAAGAAAAGTGGGAAACAATCACACAGAACATCTCATACCGTTTGACGGAGCCGAATGCAAAGTTTATCAACAATCAGATACTGAAGCCGATATCAGGAGGGGAAATTGTATCCATCAAAGACAAAGCTCCAGATGGTTCAGCTTTTCCGAGGCCTCGATACGTATTTTATGAACCGCTTGGCGATGATCCTATAGTCGATTACAAGCCCTTTCAGGAAATTCTACGTCTACTCAATAAAATGGATCACTCAGACATTCTCGTTCTTGCGCCTTCATTAAAAAACCCCCATTTTATCGATCTTGCAAATTGTCTGGCTTTGAAGGGGTATCCCGTGCTGGCCCCCGTCTTTGAGGACAGCCAAGGCGTCTCACCCTCGCAATCTAAAAAGAAGATAGTGCTTTGTACCTATCACCAATCCAAGGGGATCGAGCGCGAGGCCGCTGTTCTGTATGGGTTCGACAAAAGCTACGACTGCTATCGTAACAAGTCCTCTGAGATCCCCCCAGTTGCCGAAAACCCACAGTATGTGGCTGCGACGAGGGCTAAAACAGATTTGGTGCTTCTGAACAACAGTAAATACGGCCACCCTTCATTCATAGATCTGAAAACATTAGACGATACTTGCGAGATTGTGAATAGGGAAATTCATTCCCCCAATAGAGAGGGAACGAGTGGTGTCCAGAGGTTTGGCGTTACAGCCTTGACTAGGAACATCCATGGCCTAGTTATGTCGAAGTGCATTCAAGAGTTGGAACTTGAGCAAAAATCCCCCCCAGCTTACGGGGGAAGTTCCCCCCCTTCGGAAATTGACATCGGTGGGGGGCTTGTGGAAGGTGTGGCGGATATAACGGGAGCCGCAGTGCCGGCGATCTACGAGTACTTCATGAAAGGGAGACGTGCTACCAGTTCCTACTGGTACCTTACTTCATTCTATGCTCTGTTCCGATATTTCAAGGCGTATAACAATGGGTCGTGGCAGGCCCAGGCGCAGTTGTTTAAGCGAATCCAAGATGACCGACCCGAGATCAATGATCATCTACGAAGCGTTCTGTCGAAGGTGGCCGCTGGGGAACTAAACCATAGCGATTTTTTGTTCCTAGCAAACTTCACATTGGCGATCGAGAATGGATTATTGGTCAAGCTTCTGTCGATACCACTTGATCGCTATCTATGGATTAAACCGGAGCACACGAAGAATATTATTCGTATCCTGTTCCCTCAAATCCCTCTTCGTTGCCAGTTTGAGCAGCATATTTCCCATACCTTTAGCAGATCCCAGTTTGCCAATGGGGTTAAGGCACGTATAATAGGAAGACTTGATATCTCAGATCTCGACAATAAATGCCTATGGGAAGTGAAATACACGCGGGAACTGCGAGCTGAGCACATCTTGCAAGCTGCATTATATGCAGGGCTTTTAGAGGCAAAGTATGGAAAGGGCTTTACTCCCAGGCTCATAAATGCGATGTCGGGAGAAATTATTGGGATCAAGCCGAAGACGGAAAACTCTTACGGGAACATTATCCGATTTCTTGTAGATGCAAAGACTGCCGAATCCACCATCCTAGCGAATTTAACGGATGAGGAATTCATAAAAGAGGCAGGGAATGGATTTGAGAACTATATTGGTCCAGCTGTGTTACCTTCTTGGCTCGGCGATCGGAAGATAGCCAAAAGTAGTAGAAAAAGCATCACTGTTGAGGATGATGAAACCTACTGGTGGCGCAAAAAAGGGACTGCTAACATTGCCAAAGAAGCTGCATGAACCTGCCGTGTTCTCTCCTAGCATTATAGACTTTATCTCTCCTCTTGCTATCTATTTCTTCGGGTGGAAACCCTATGTTGTTATCGTGTATCTTTCACTTGGATATTTTTTTCCCTCCCTGTTGGTGTCGGCTAAGTCTGATATTTTTTTATACTTCATAGGAGGCTGAGCGGCTTGGGCTCCTGGTGAGGGCGTCAGGTGCTTGCTTAATTCATCAATCTCTTAGCCTCCCTACTATGTAAGAAGGGGTAGAGTTAGATATCTTACTATTTGTGACACGGTTTCCTCTCCGCTTCTTGTAACTTTGCAGAATAGGTCCCTTATCTGGTGTATACTAACTTGGATATAAATGGATTGCTCCTCATGTACAGTACTAGTACGTCGTGAAAGATTGGGTAAGATAATGAGAGAACTACCCCGTGGTATATATAATATTCTCCCTGAAAAAAACAGGGAAATCTCCATGTAGTTTGGAAGCTTCACCTTTGCGTTTGACTGGTATCATACCGATACAGCCCCATAATTCGAATAGGGGGGGGGGATCATGAACATGGTAGGCATTCAGGGTGCCGACTGAACAACTTGGCAGCCTGCAGGATACAGCTCACGAATACCCAATCGCGGTACAGAAATATAGCTACTACGAGTATTCGCCCACGGAGCTAGGAATTTTTTCGCAGCTATTACGCTTTGCGGCAAATAAGGTTTGAATCAACTGGGTTAGTACTACAGTGGTGTGGCCATGTGGAAATACCGGTTTTTGAACTCTGCTATTTCATTTTTGTGAGAAAATTAGTCAGTCATGGATGACTGCGAATGTGGTCCGGGGGTGGGGAAATCATAAAACTGGTCATGGGATATCACTCGCTGTTCAGTTGCTATTGCTTTTTTCTCTTCCCCTGTTGGATTATCTGTGATAGGGTTAAGGATGTGGGTGGCAGATTGAGGGAGGTTTAGAGGTGCTGATAGTAAAAGCCCGGGTGATGCCCACCGGGCAAGATTTCCCCTGTTACCCAGTTAGTTGGTTGCCGGGGGCCTTAGTGAGAGGACATTACGATACCAAAAAGGCGATCCGAAGCACCACCACACTTATGATAAGTACTGGTGGATCTTTAAATTTTTCTATGCAGTACAGCTTCCAAAGACTCACCCTTCCGCTCCCGGATACTTGACTCTTTTTTCTTCTTTGCACCGCCATATATGTCCCTCCACGCAACCTTAAAGTCTTAGTGAAATCAGGAAGTTCCCGTGAGTGGCTTTCACATGGGTAATGAGAGTCTAGTAGCGACACTGGCAAAACAGCAATCACCAAAAGCCAATCGTGGGTGAAATTCTCTTTTTTGGGAGTAGAGATAGAGTGTTCCATTGATTTACTTTCACAAACTAACAAACTTGGAGATGACTACTCAGGTGGTAGGGGGGGGGAGGAGGAGAGGAGGAGGAGGGGAGGAGAGGCATAATCCGGTCGTCCTAACGGGCTTGATGATAATTTTCGTCCCACTCATTGCTCTCCTCATCCCTCTTCCTCTTCTTCGACCCCCCCGCCACCGTAACCTTCCCTTTCTGCTTCCTTCCCTTAGCACCACGGTCACCCGTCCGGTCACCCGTCCGGTCACTTTCAAGCATCTTGAATTGGCAAATAAGTTGGGAGATCTTTTCCTCTGTCTTGTCCAACTGGACCTCCGTATCCTCTAGCTCGTTGTACAGCGGCTCGAGGAAGTCGTTGAGGTGCTTCGTCAGCGCGACCTGGTAGTCAATGGTGAAGACCCTGCTGGCGAACATGAGCGTGTGCGCCTCCATCTTGCGGTCTATGCGACTCTTGAGCGCGTCCCGAATGCGGGCTAGGCGACAGGCAGTCGTTCGGAGAACGTTCAATCTGCCATAGATGGCTTCCTTGCGTGTGGTTGGGGGGTTGGTGTCCGGCAAGGTGGGGGCTTCGCTGGCCTCGCTGGTCTCGCTGGCGAGGGGTGGTGGAGATTCGGGGGGCACGGGGATTCTAGAGGTTGTAGACATCGTTGCTGTGGTGCGTGCTTATTTGACTGGTGGAGGGAGGGGATTTTCGTGGCTGTGGTAGTGGGGGTGGTTATTGAGTTCGTGGTTTATGTGTCTTCCGTGAGGGTGGGTGCGCGCGCTGTGAGTGCGTAGAAAGGTCTTTGGCATGTTATGATACCGGGGGTATTGGGGGGCTTGAGGGCTGTGCGTGTGGCGGGTGGTATCTTGAGTTTCCTAAAGGTTTGTCCCCCCCTCTCCGAATGATGGGTTGTGATACTGCTCGCCGGTAGATACTGTAGACTTATGAGATGACATATGATACTTTACCACTTTTAGTTCGCGTTGCGTATATGAACCTTCCAGCCAACACTAGAATCTACAAATCGGGGAAATGTAACTTTTGAGTAACGATTTTTTTACGAAAGGAGGACAACAAGTGTATTAGTGGATTGTCTGTCGCCCCGGCACAATTTGGACCACTCGCTATGGAGGAGAGGTGATGAAGAATAGAGGCTTGAGGCGGGAAAGGAGACAAGTTTTAGCCGCAATCTTCCATAACCGCTGCGATAGGTTTACGGAGACTAGTATGGTGGAAGGCTCCCTCCTGTGTGAGTGAATGGGAGCTTGAATCCATTGTATATCTTATATAAAATAGTTCACGGTTTAAATCCATTCAAAGGAGGTTCACAGCGATTCAAAGCTGGTTACAGGATCACCAGAGAGAAAGCATATCATGTGAATTGAATTTTTAATTTACCCATAAAAAGCACCAATCGCCCCCGGTAGAGAGTATCCCTCAAACAATCTAGAAAATCCTCCGCGTCCCCCCTCGAGATTCTAGAAGATCCACTTTTCACTGCCCCTCCCCCCTCTCACCATCTTGGAGATGGGCGTGGGTGATCCTCCCGGTAGAGCCTGTCAATGATTTGTTGGAAGGGCTCGACGCGATAGCCCATGGCTCTCAGGGTATCATCGATACTCTCAAGTTCGTCCCTGTGCCCGTACATCTCGTCCTGGATGGCTATCCTCTCGGCATCAATCATGGCAAGACGCCGCTCGCGGGTTTGCTCTGTGATCTCGGTGTCCTCCTCAACCACTTCGGCCGCCGCGAGACGAATTTTCCTCTCCTCTAGGAGGTCGAAGAATAAATTTTGGAGGTGATGACGTTTGTTGATCAAGTCCCTGATCTGGGGGTTACGCGGTTGGTCCGCAGATGGCATTTGGAATTCGATCACTTGAATCGGCTGTGATAGGTGGGGGTCTTTTTAATCAAGACGGTTAGACGACGAATGTTCAATGGCGGGGAACTTGTATGTGGTGATGTTGGTGTTGTTGTGGAGCTTGGTGGAGTGGAAGAAAATATCGGTTAGCCTAATGGAAGGGAGGAACATGTTGAGTGGGTGAATGTGCGAGGTGCCAATGATTTGGTTGAGGGAAAGTTTTCGAATATAGCGCCGTAAGCATCAAGTGTTCTAGTCGTGAGGTGCGTCACGGGAAATAATGCGGAGAAAAGGAATTGGAGAATAATAAACTTGAATTGTCAAGGGAGGGAAAGAAGGAGAAAGGAACTGGGAAGATGATCCTCCTAAGATAATTTCAAGTACCAAATTCGTATTACGCTCTCCTCGGGAATAACTATCACCATTTACGCCACCATCCCCGCTCGTAGTGTCCTCTAATCTCACATTCAAGAGTAAGGGATACATTTGCAGATCCAGAAAGAATAGTCAATTCAGTTTAGATTGCATGAGGTACTAGGGATTTTCAGCCAGATGAATGGAATCATTGTGCACCACCACATAAGTGATAATTCTATTCACTATGAGAATAAAAATATTGCTTCCACTAGGGAAAGCAATTATCGTGTCGCTTACCCACCGGAAAGTGACATTAGTGTTTACCGCTTGAAAGAAAGCCATACTTGCAACTTGCTCTGGGCGTGACTAACGAACTGTACAGACTGGAGCGTATGATATATCAAACATAGTAAAAGCGTCCTGATCCTCCCATGGATCACCAAATGTATCCTTACCCGTTTCACGCATGTTCCCGTTCCCGCCCACGCTCTCGTCACAACAGAGGAAGGGCGTGTCTGGGTGACCTTTTCTGTGTAAATCACTATAGCTTCAGAGACACTCTCCACCTCCCCGAACGATCTAGTGGACTCCCGCAGCTTCCACAACCTACCAGGTGCATTCAGAAACAACGCAGTTTTACACAGACCAACTCCCAACAGTATTCTTAAGGTCGTGGAAATCATCAAAAATTGCCAAAGGGGTGGCCCGGCTCGTAAGCTGTTGGAGAGCCGATACAGTGTATGTAAAAATGGTGTTAAAGGAAGGGAATCAAGGAGGGTATTCGTTGCGGATTGTTTCACGAAATAATGTTTTATTTGAGATCTTGAAATAATCTCTTGGAAAGAAGCGGCACTGTTATTACGGTCCGAGAAAGGGCAATAGATATTATCTTTTTTATTTTTATCTGATGATCATGTTAGCTGCAGTGATAATAAGCCTACAGTATTTCTTATTCGCACACCCCCCGAGTGACTCCCCGAGTGACTTGACATGAGTAGGTTCATTCATGCCATAATATATTAGTACCTTGTTAGTCAATGCAACAATATGAGTAGTCTTCCTCATAATGTTCTGAAAATATTAAATTTACTCGATTTCGTTTTACGGAGACAAACTAATTACTGACAATGCCCTACAAAGCGAAAATAAAACCTCGACACTATGAAACACTACCGCTGTCACAATATCGTGAGTAGCAGTAATAATGCGGGAGAAAACGAAATCCCCAACTATACATACTCCCAAATCTACGCAACCGTAGCATCTACAATCTCCGCCAGCCACTGCCTCAAGGCCAACGCTAGCACTCCGGGCAACTCCTTAATATCGCTGACGACAAGGTAAAACCTGAACGGAAAAGAATCCAAATACTTATACATCTTCAACGCCATACCGCCGCTCTCATCCTTCTCGAACTTCACTCCCTCGAGCGTGAAAATGCTCGACTCGCGCACGGAGTCCACGATAACGAACACGATCATAATTTTCTCCTCTTGGGCTTTGCGCGCTAGTCGGCGGAGGGCGTCATGGTCCTCGCATACGCCGTCGGAGACGATAATTTCCAATTGCCAGAGCCCAGCGTTGGAGTTTGTGCGCGCAGACTCAAATATGGAGAGGGACTTCTCGACGAGGGTTTTCACGTTTGTCTTTGTTTGGTTAAAAGTGAAACTTTGGAAGATCTTTACGCCGGATTCGGAGGTGAAGGGCTGGCCGAAGGGGTGGATTAGACGGGTTGTTTCGCCAAAGCTGACGATGGAGATCTGGCCAACTTCGAGTTGGGAGAGGGCTTTTGCGACTAGAGTCACGGTTTTGAAGGCTAAGTTGATAGAGTTGGACTCCGCCATAGACTTTGAGTCATCGACTGCTATCATTACCTGGTATTGACGTTTGCTGGGCTTTGTACGGCGCATCCAGATTTTGTCCTTCTTGTACTGACTTGCAATGTATGGGATGATACGCTTCATGTTCAGTCGCTTGCCGGTTCGGAAATCTCCTCTCATCTTGGTAGCTAGAGTAGGTTCGAGAATGAGTCGGAGTTGCTCGCACAGACCCATCGATAGATCCTGCGTTGACTGTTCGTGCTTCTGCCACAACTCTCGCGACTCTTCCCACGAACGACCATCCACAAGTCGCGGCGGTGGAGAATCACCCCCTTGTAGCTCTCCGTCAGCCATACCTATGTCTTCAGTGTCCAAATCAAATCCAGCGTCTTCCTGAGTGAATATTTGCTGCCTAGATTTTGGTTCCAATGATCTCCCAATGATTGCACCGACAGAGCATTCTTCCGCGGATTCTGGACTATCAACACCTGTGTCCTCAGAATCCTTCATCTCTTCATCCATAGCATCATCCCCCCCCGGCCTTGATTCCTCATCCTCAAAGGTTTCCTGTGGCCGTGTAGTACCCGAATCAATCGCCATCGAATCGTCAAGCGGGTGGGATTGCTCTTCAGTAGCTGCGCCAAGAGCCTGTGTGTCGGTGGCGGTTTCCTCATCGGGCAAATGCTCGAATTCCGGATCGTCAAGTTCCTAACATGAATGGTTAATAACCGGAAGCGATCAAAATTCCAGTTTTCCACTCTTACCATATTGACAACTTGGGGTCGCTCTGCATCCTTCTGAGCATCTAAAATCTCTTGGCGACTACGGTACCATTTCTCCAGCACGTCACCAACTTTACGGAGAGATTCTTGTACTTCCTTGAAATGATCGTCTTTGGGGACTTGGCTGTCATTCTGAGGATTCGCGTCTTGTGCTAAGGCTTGACCTAATTTCTGACCCTGCTCTTGATCCGCGTCGGGGCCATTAATTTCTAGCGGTTCGTCTTGCTTTGCCTCCTCGCCCGATTGCTGCTGAGCTGAACTCTGCTCGTTGCTATCTTGCTGGCCGGCGCCGCCATCATGTGCCTGAGCTTTTCTAGGTGCAGTTTTATCGGCTTCCCCTGACTTCTGCTCTTCCTGGGTTTGGAGTAGAGAGTTTTGTTCCTCTTCTTGGAGGGTATCTTGGCCTTGGTCCATCTCTTCTCCGTCGGCCTCTCCGTTTTCTTCAGTCTGCCCCCCTTCAATGTCATTCTCGTCCTTTGCATCTTCGGGCTCGCCGGCGTTGGGGTCTTTTGTCGAGGAATCCAACTCAGGAAAACCCTCTTTCTCCCTATCTTTCCCTTCGTCTTTTTGCATAGGTTCTTCCTCATCGACAACATCTGAGAGGTCTTCCATATTTAGATCGTCATCTTCACCTCCTTTCTCATCACTATCGAGTTCAAGATCTTCTGGTAAGTCAAGTGTATCAACTTCAGGAACATGTGGGTCCATTCCTTCAGTTGTCTCTGGTCGAACCTCGTCCTCTTCATCCGCTCCCTCTCCTCCACCATCGCTCGCGTCTCCAATCTCGGGCTCCATTTCCTTGCCCTCTGGGCCCTGCTGGTTTTCGTTGTTCTCTTTCTTCGCCTCGATATCTCCACCTCTATTCTCGCCGCCTTTCGTTTCACCCCCTTCTTTTTCTTTAGCGTTATCATCTCCCTTCCCGTCCCACAGCTTTTCGTCGATAGCGGTGGGATCAAGATCATCGACGTCGCCAGTTCCTTCATCCATATCATCCTCCTTTTCGTCGCCGGTGCCCTCCCCATCACTGTCTTCTCCTTTGCTCGGCATATCCCCCATCTCGCCTTCCATCTCGCCTTCAATATCCACTGCATCTTCCTCGTTCTCAATTTCTTTTTCTCGCTCTTCGTTTTTCTCTTGAGCGAGTTCAGAAAGGTCTTCATCGGCTTCGATGTCCTTGCTGATGTCATCCGCACCTTCACCTTCTCCGAGTCCGGTTCCGTTCTCAAGACCATTCGCGCCGCCAGCTTCTTCGCCCTGCCCCTTCTCCTCTGGCATGCAGAAGCCTTTTGTCAAGAGCGTAGTGGCAGACTTGCAAAGGATATAAGCGGTCTTAGAAGTAACGTGGTAGTGACCTAGTACCTCCTGAAGTGTCTCTTGACAGATGTTAGTGTACTCCTGTACGATCGGGTAATAGGCTGCGAATAGCGTGCGTGCGGCCTGTGAGGTAGCTGTATCGAATGGCTGGAGTCTTGCAACCAAAGCTAGAGTCTCTGTTGCCTTGCGAGTGATATCACCCATGTGTAGAGACCTCACGCTAGATGCGGACGCAGATTGGAATTGGGCAAGCCAGCCGGTTTGCTGCGGTGATGTTGGGCAAAACGTCCGTGAGTCCCTCAGTTTTTGCAGGCTGACAAGCACTAGATCGCAAAGACCTTGTAATGAAGCGTCAATTATTTGCAGTGACACTGAAGAATCTGCTTTTGCGGGCGCTTTTGGTTGGCATTCTCGAGAAAGCAAAGACGTAATAAGGTGGATTGCATAAGCGATCTCTGGTTGTTCCTGTCTGAGATTCTCTGCCTCTGAGCTCATTCCACGCAATGCTTCCAGGGCCCGGTCCATCAATATCATAGTCGAGTGCTCCCAGATTCCATCATAGATAGCGAGCTCTTTCCTAAAGCTAGTGTTCAGATCCGTAGCGACTTCGCGAGACTTCTCAAAGTAAATTTTGGCATCCTCAAACTTGACCCCACTGAAATCTTCGTGAATACACAGCAGTTCAGTAGCCAATCCAATAGTCTCTGGAAGCCACAGAATCTTCCTCCAAATATTGACATACTCCTCGGGTGCAATGCTGCTGTTTCCATAGAGATCCGGATGCTCCATCTCCAAGTTCGATAATGTCCTGTACCTCTCTATGACCTTCTGCACTCTCTTAAGATCCCTAAGTGAGGAGGAAACTATATCCCACTGCTCCAGGATCATTGAAAACATATTCTCAATATACCCCACACTCCTCGTGACCTCTGGACCCGTCAAGTCCAGACTCGGCTTTACCGCATACCCCCGAATCTTCGGTAAGAGCTCCAAAACTCGAAGGAGGTGATAAGACTCATTCCTGTCATTACCGGTATGAATTGTCTCAGCAGCTGTGAGAACTGCCTCAAGGGTAGATTGCTTCTGTAATTGAGAGCTGCTAAGATTCGACTTCAATCCCATTTGTCGAAGCTCTTTCAATGCATCCGTGAATGCTTTTCGTTTTCTCGTCTTCAAATGCTTCACTTCATGCCTGTTGGTCTCCGTGAGTGTTCTGGGAGTCTCGGCTTGGAGTTCTTTCATTATCGAGACGATTGATGTCGAGAAGTTGTTTAGCCAGCTTGTGACGTCGACAATTCCCGACTGAGATACTCGCTGCATCGTTCGTACAGTTGCAGCAAGATCAGCAAGACGGATAGGTCTGCTATCCCATGTTTGCACCCGTTTCTCGTAGCTCTCTTTGACTAGTTCAATGTTGATATCTAATTGGGGAAGAACCACCGGTATGCTAATGATAGCTCTATCCTCCACGGAAGGCATGCCACCTTCGATCAAAGGCTGCACAGGTTGAGCGAGTGTCTCCCGATACTTCTTGACAACCTTATAGAGCTTATGATGCGATCGCTTTGCACTATCTCTCAAAGCAATGACATTCGTAGCTTTCCAACTAGCTAGTAGGACTACCTCTGAAACCTGCTTCTCAAGCGTCTTCCTCTGCTTCATCAGGAAGTCCTCAGCTATGGGCACGTACTGCGAGTAGTATGTGATAAGGTTTTTTAGTCCCTTCTGTATAGACAACATCTCCGGATTTTCCTCGGATAGGTGTAGAAGATGCTGCTCGAACGCCTGCAAAAGATGAAGCCTACCGGGAAACTGACCGATAGATGAGGAAGTTATGAAAACAGCAAGTGTAGAGACAAGTTGGAACATACGATTATCCAAGGTCTCCCCTGCCCCAGAAAGGCGAGTCGGGTTGGCGATCACACTTTCGAAAATATAGAACCACCAAGAGTCTGCATCAATCTCGCACTTCTCATCCTCAATGTCGAAAAGGCGCGGCCAGGTGGTTAATTCCAGATGCCTCCAGCTTATAATTAGTTGAGTTAAGGCGTCGTAATGTTCTGCGGCAGAATACTGGCTGCTAGCAACACTTTGCCATTCGTTTAATGACTCGTGCAACCTCTCGACCTTAGGAAGGAGCTTTGCGACTGGTGAGTCGTTTGGGAAGTTAAGTATCTCCTGACATGTTTCCAAGGCATCTTGAAGAGTGATATTTTCAGGCCAAGTGCCATTCAAAACTTGCAGACAAGTCCGGCATTTCTCAATCATGTCAACTAGTCTCTGAGCTTGCTCCAGATTCTTGTCGGTATAGAAGTCATATGTCTTAGAACTAGGCTTCTCTTCGCGCCCATCGATCCATTTAGACGCTTCACTGAGGGAAAGCACAACGGCCGGTATGAAAGCCTCCAGTTCTGTTTGAGAAGCGGAAAAGCTATCCGTTCTGCGTAGGCTCTTCATAAAAGTACTGATACCACGATGAATGAGGGAGGGTAAGTCACACCCTGAATTATCCCTCGAAAGGTAAAGAGCAGAATGGCATTTTGCAAGCTTAACTGCTAAAGAGCGATGGTCGGCAGCTGGTTTCTCTGCCTTTTCAACTTCTTGCTCATAGTCCGGAAACATTGCCTTCAGTTCCCGTTCGTCGTGGTCCTCTCCTTCGCCCTGGTATCGGTAAAGACTTGCATCTGCAACGGCCTTTTCTTGCTCTTCTGCCATCTTGGCCTTCCAATTATCGAGGAAGTAAAGCAAAATTCTGTTGATGATCTCGTGAGATTTTCTACCCAATCCTTCGAATCCTTCAATAGCCCTACGGGTCGCAAACTTCCATAACAAGAGCAGCTGAGCATCATCCCGGTTATCGCCGCTAGCAAAATGATCAAAAGTTATATCCCCTATGAAATCCGGAATAAGAAGCGACTCGGCATGCCCCGATTTCTCTGTCTCAATAGCAGCAAGATCCAACCCAAGCTTCAGAGAGTATAAGAACCCGAGCACCGGATCTACCAAATCTTTATAAGCAGTGTGGTTCCTCCTTAGTCTCTCAGCTATCTGAGACAAATTCCTCTGGAACAACTTTTCCTCGGCACGGCCTTCATGACCGCGCTTCAAGATAGACGAAAGAAGTCGCTCGTGAGGATTACTCTCGACAATAGCCTTGAGTAAGGTAGAGAAATCCCCTTGTAACTGAGCCATTTCCGATTCCTCCGGTCGTTCCATGAACGAGCTTGAAGGCTCCCCGCCAAGTCCTTCAATTTGATTCCGCAGATATTGCAGTTGAAACTCATTTGTTTGACCGGTAAACCTGGATTCAAAAAATATTTCCGCCTCAATCCTAGCAGTTATATCGCCCTTTTGGCGCAGGTATCTCTCTCGTCTCACCTTCAACTTCATGGCTGGATCGAAGGCGCAATTGGGGACATATAGTTTTAGACACCCTAAGGCATAGTGGGTCCAAGCGGATCCCAGGTTCTCCAAAGTAACAGATCCGAATTGAGACAAATCCGAACAAAGAGCGCCGATTGCAGGTGTAAAGTGGGTGTCAACCACTGTCTTGAATTTATCGTTTGATGTTGGCAAAAGCGGGAGACCGGGCATCCTCGATAGCCCCTTTGTTTCTCCAAATAGAGCTTGATTGATAATACCGAATGAATTCGTAATCTGTGCATACATCTCTCCGTCATAAAATTCCCTATGCAGAGTAATAATCTGTGAAGACAATTAGTTTCCAATCTCCAGCAAGCTACCCTCAGAGTAAAAAAAAAATACTTTATAAATCTTAGCAACCAGGAGTTGTGTCAATTGGAGCGTCCTATCACTAGTGATATCGCGAATATTCAAAAACAAATGCTTCAAAAATGTTTTCAGATCGATATTGAGCTTGCTCGTCTGACCGATCGCCGATTGTCTCACTTGATGACTATTATCCAAGTCAGTATGAATCAAATATCAAGCCAACGATGCACAAACCTAGACCCCAATATTTCGGGTATAAATCGAGCCTCTACGAGACCACATGAACCGCCAACATTTGAATTCACGAGTTGGTATATATCCTCAAGGACTTGCTCGTAAGATGTACCTGAAAATAATGGTCAACAAAACCTCCCACAAACGCATCTCTTAATGGAACTCACGGAGTCTAATGCTTGGGGCCTGGTAGCCAAGAAGTCTAGATGTAGGTCTACTAGAGAAATGTGCAATAGCGAGCATATCACTGTCAATCTGTAAGGATCGATCAGCAAACCGATGATTGAAATTATATAACCAATTCCTACCTTCGCTTCGTTCGGAAACACGGCTACCCGGAGAGCTCTGAACTGAAATAGATAATCAAACGCGGCCCTGAAAACCGACCCAAGTTGCTCAGGTTCGGTTAGCGCTTGCGATTTTTCAAGTTGGGCAATTTCTGCCTCAAGCCCTTGAATCAACTCCCAGATATTATCTGCATCTGAGAACGTCAAGACATCGGTGAGTGCCGTGATAAGTGATCTCTTCAGGGAAACGACCACCTCAAGGGAGCCTATTCGAAGAGTCAGCGGCCTAATTGACAAGCTTGGGGGGTGGAAAAACCTTTAAATCTCAACGTCACAATATCAAACCGATCGGCAATTTCCTTCAATCTATTATACGCCGTCCAAGCAATCAACGAAGCAGGTACAGATGGACGCATCTCGTTCCACACCAACTCCATAGAGAACCCAGTTTTAAGTTGGAAAGGAGCCCGGAATCCATCTAACGCTTGCCGAATTGGCTGCATCAGAGTACGAGGAAGACTATCTCCAGAGAACTTAGCCCATTCCTCAAGTAATTCTACATATACGTGGAGCACACTCCCATTCAATTTATTCCCTGGAGCACTACCCAAGCCAACAATATCATGCCATAACTGCAGAAGCTCCAGAATAGGTAAAAGCGAATTCTGCAATTGCTTATCCTCGTGCATTCCCCCAAGAAACGGGGGACCACGCGCCCAGGTATCAGCCCAGTTGTATAGTTCTTCCCGGACAGTCGACAAGAACTCGAATACCGGTAGGTCGAGATTGGCTTTAGAGATTGACACAGGTAATTTATTTTTCGACGCCGATATCTCCAAAAAACTCATGCCTTTCAACCCTTCTAGTGTTGCCGCCATCGCTCTCTGAATGATTGCCTCCTCTACTTGCTCGATTTCGAGTATCCCTCTCATGCAGTCGTAGATTCGCATGTAGATGGTCCATTCAAGCATTCCCTGCGAATGGCCTGCTTGTCGGGTGGAGGCCTTGATCCCAAGAAAAATTAGAGGCGTGTTGCGCAGTAAATTTATAGGCTGTTTAAGATATTTGTCAATATCCGCTTCCAGCTCGAGCCCTTCACCGCTTAGATTAATTATCTCACTCACCTGCGCTCCCTTGAATTCATAACTAGTTGGCAGCAGTTTCGCGAGGTGCTCTTTACGATCTTCTCGAAGTGCCCAGGTCCATTTATACAAATTTACGTAAATGCTTACTGCGTCCTGTAAAATTTCCATCCGCTGCGCCCTCAGGTCAGCAGATGATGATCTTATATGATCTCTCCATCTAGTCAATAATGCCATATCGGTCTCCGCCTTTTCCCCGGGCATGTGGTCAAGAGCGATATAAACAAGATTCTTGAATACCGATGTATCGATATTATTTCCGAGAAATTTACCCATGATCTGATAGATTCCCATTGAGGACTCTGTCGAAGGGGAATATTTAGCAAGCTCCTTCCGTTCTCTATCATCTTCTTCGGCACCCTCCTCCATCGGAAGTGGACTCAGGAAAACCTCTATCCCACGATTCCTCATAGCCCGTGAGAGTTCGCCGTGGTCGGGGTTCATTGTTAGGAAGAGCCGGAAACCCGGACTGGGATATACCATTTTTGGTCTGCCATCCTTGCCGTTATGCTCGTTGACTATGAGACATCCATTCGGTTCAAGGAGCGAGTTTAGCCTATCCATTACACTTGGACTGCATAGGTTCGCATTATCTAGGACCAGCCACCTTCCTTTCTCAACGGCATCGATTAACATCCCGTCAACCCACTCAAACCTAGCATTTGTAGTTTCGCGGGCTTCGGCAACTACTTCCTCGAAACTATCAATGAATGGGTAAAAAATTCCGAATGCGTGCTCCTCTTCAAGCGACCTGAGTTCCTCAACAAGGCGCTGTAGTGAATCAATCCCAAGTCCAGCATTTGAAAACTTGATACGCTCGCAAAGCCCGAGCGCCATCTGAAGAGGGCCCGGGTATTCACCCCCACAGAAATATCTTACTCCCAAATCCTTCAAGTAATGATCGAATTGATTAAAAACCTTGGAAATTTTCCTAGTAACGTCTACTTGTTCGAAGCCACCAACAACATCTGTCGCATCAATATCACTGTTGATTGCGATCTCATCAAGCTCAACACCAGCAATACTTGCTAGAAGCCTTAATAGACTACTCTTACCAACGCCGGAGGGCCCAACCAATATGCACGGGGTCTCCTGCGTAATTGCGGTCATAATTGTCTCCATAACAGGCAAGTTCTGCTTTAAAATTGCGAGGTCCCGAGGGGATATAAAACATAGATTGCTCCGACGGCTGAGAAACGCGTGACCGACTTGTAGATACTCCTTGGATAGTTGATAATAGAGATGTCTCCTACCAGGTTCGGATCCGAAAACCTGGCCAAACAGCGCGTCGACCCTCTCTCTGTCCTTCGTAGTCCGAAATCGATGTTTGATGATACCTAGAAACTCTTCAGGTTTGCTAGCGGCCACGAACCGGGCAGGTGACGATAACAGCCCAAGCCAACGCAGGGTATCTCGCAGGTTGAATTCCCAGGGGCCTCCAAGACTTCCGAAACTCCTCTTCTGAGACACCTCACGATCTAGAAGAACCATAAACTCGATTACTTTCGAAACATATTTAGGGTGGACCGATGGATTCAACTGGCTAGCGATGAGTTGTAAATCTTCGGGGCCAAGGGTGTCGATATAAACAACTGTAAACCGATTGACAAAAGATGCGGGAAGTCCCTTCCGTCCTCCACCTTGTTGGTGTGGATTCTGTGCAGCAAAAACTGCAAAGTTAGGATGTCGTCTGAAGGTACGATCGAGCTCTGAGATGTATGTCTCCCCGCGGTGGTCCAAACAGGCGTTGAGACCCTCCAACACTGACTGCGACGCCAGATTCATTTCATCTAGTAGTACCCAATTTCCGGCTTGCATCGCTCGAAGGAACGGAGCATCTCGCCAGGCAAATTCCCCGCTCTGGCCACCTTCAACCGGAACATCCGAACCGAAAAGATCCATTAGGTCAGTTTGCTCCGACAAATTGATTCTTGTAAGGGAATTTCCACTAGCCTCTGCAAGGGCCGATATCAGACTTGTTTTACCGACACCCGGGCTACCTTCCAGTAATACAGGTTTCCGCAATTGCATTGCTCTGACCACTCTCATAGCATTCTTCGTTGTTGTTGGTGCGGTCATATTGAATGATTCAGAAATATCTACCGCGGCGTCCTTATTCTTTTGCAGGGAGAACGCTCCAAGCTGGACCACCTCATCACCCGCGCTAGTAGTAATCGGTTGATAGTATATTTGGGACAAGTCCTCACCGCAAAGGTCTGACAATTCAGAGATACACCGTTGCTTCTCCTTTTCCAGATCTTCGGAGGCAATTGACAAGCCCCCAGAGGGGTTTGCTCCCATACCATCAATAAACACGAGTGCTGCCCCATGAAGCAACCCAAAAGCAGGGTTCTCGGGCGGGCTGGAATTGATGAATTTGACCCAAGCTAATACATCTCGAATGGAGATCACTGGGGATAAAGTAGAGCTAGAAGTTTTAGAAAATCGCTGCGCAAACTCTACGACGGTTCTAGCGTACTTTGATGCGAACGGTGCAATTTTGGCCTGTACAATCTGCAAGATGTCTTCCGGATCGGACATCGACGGTACCCAGATTTCCGTAAACCGATTCCGTAATGCCGGGGAAAGCTCCTTCTTGCCATAGTCACCGCCGGGGTTCATAGTAGCCATGAACTGAAACCCATCTGCAGCTGTAACTTCTGATTCCTTTGCTCCTTTCTCTGCGAGTAGGATACCCCGTGCAGGTTCCAAGACACTGTTCAATCTCTCCAATACGGAATCATCGGCTAACGATATCTCATCAAGTAAAAAGAACTGGCCAGATTTCATAGCTTGGATAAGGCTTCCGTCGGCCCACTCAAATAATGCTTTTGCCCGTTTGCGATTAGTTTGAATTCGGGCTCGGGCATCATCGGGTATTCTCGCAGCGATGTCCTGCCCCAACGAATCATAAGCCCTCAGCAGTACAGTCAAGTCACTATCAGTAATCTCAGTAGACGAATGTTCCCTAAGAACAGCTAATAGGTCCTCAGTAAGCTGGCTCTGATAAGCCTGCCGATTCCGAATTGGTCGCTGAGCACCAATAATGTCACCGGTCTCAGTATTTTGGTGAGCATTGACAGCAAACAATGATTTTCCCAAGGCGTCTGCCAGCATTTGACACACTGTCGTCTTCCCACACCCAGTCTCGCCAACGAGAAGAACAGGTTCGTTATTACGTAGAGCCGTTGCAACGAGTGCGTAGAGCCGATGCATTGCTTTTGTCCAAACAACGTCGCCGCTCGTTCCGGAGAGTTTATCCATGTAATAGTGATATTCTGGTGTGGATTCGGGCGAATATAAAGATGAATTGTCGATTTTAACGCGCATGACCCTCTCAATGGTCTCCTTCACAGCGAGCTTCTCCTTTTCATCACGAACTCGCTCTGCCAACAGCATGTACCCATCATTGGCCAAACTCTGATAACTCTGGTCACCACGGGCTGCTTGACGGCTAGCCCACCTAAAGAGATCTCTAAGAGTAGCGAAACTGTTTTTCTGTTCGAAAAGTCTAGCTGTCTGACGAATCAATGAGAGTTCCTATCCAAAGGTTAGTAGAATTCAGTAAACCACCCATAACCACTGGAATTACCTTATAGACATCCACAATCACCTTACATCGACTGGGCGGTATCTGGCATCTTCCCTCTAGAATAATTCTCAGTTCGTCTTCGGGAATATCATCAAAATGTAGCTCTAAGAACCTATTCCGAAAAGCCCTAGATAACACCTTCCTCCCTCCATAGAGCCCAGGCGGGTTCTGGGTTGCGTAGAGCATGAAGTCTTTATGCGGCCTCACTACTTCCTGTGTTTCCGGAATCAAAAGTTCTCTGTTGTCATCCAACAACCTATTCAAAGCCTCGAGTACATCCGTAGGTGCAAGATTTAGCTCGTCAAGTACGATCCAATAGCCCTCTCTCAAAGCTTTGACAAGTATCCCCTCTTGGAATCTTAGTTGCCCATCATCATCCGAAATATAACTTCCAAGATATTCTTGAAGGTCGGTATGTTCGTGGTTATTGATTCGTACAAACTTCTGCCCTGTCTTCTTCGCAAGATATTCAATCATACTTGTTTTCCCACTGCTCGTCGGCCCTTGGATAAGTACGGGGAACCGTTTTGTCGCAGTAGCTCGAACCAGATTAAGCATGTTCCGCCGAACAGACGGAGGTATAATATAATATGGTTGCTCCTCAATTGGGTATGCTCCCTTGTGCATCCAATAGTGCTCAAACAGGACATAGTCCGCCCCCGGACGTCGAGGAATCTGGGAAATCAGACTTCGCACGTTCTTTTGTTTACCTAGAACATATTTCTCAATAACCGGTAATAGTATACTCTCTGATGTCTGGTCAAGCAGTGTCAAGAAGCTCATGCAGAACCCTTCATATAAACTCCGCCTCAAGCCATATACTGGAGCAATCTCGAAAACATAACTCAAGGTCCTTGTCAAAGTCCGTATACTATAGTTTGGGCGATGGTTCGCACCATCGACCAGCCGCTGTTCCCCCGACAAGCGCTTGGCTTCCATATAAACATTCGCGATATCAGCGACCACCGCGTCGTCCCCAACCGCCAGATTTCCGAGATACTCCCTAATGATAGCGAGAAGATTACTCAGTTCTTGATCCGGACTGGCGACGTATAGCTCAGTGAATCTGTTTCTCAACCCAGGGGGCAAGTCACGTTTTCCCACATCCGTGGCCGGGTTCATACACGCAAATATCCTGAAATCTGGGTGTGCTTTTACTCTCTCCACATCGCCTTTCTCACTCAGAAGTATAGAACCACCGCCGCCGTCTTTGAGCAGATCAGCTATGCTCTCTAGGGTATCTGCAGCTGCCAGATTTATCTCGTCCAAAAGCACCCAGTCACCGTTTCTAGCAGCCTTCACCAAGCTCCCCTCCACAAAGGAAAAGGCAAAGCTTTTGACTAATTGCAAGTTGTGTTTCTCGAGATTTGATAAATCGTTTGCGAAACCAGTCCACTCCGCTTGGAGAACTGGTCTATCCGTGTCGTCCAACTTTCTCTTCCTGGCGGGCTTATCTTCGGGCTCACTTGCTTTGGGCGTAGCAAAGAACTGGTCAGCCATTTTCACAGCTTCGCTCCACAATGTTATAACTCGGTTCCATTGCTGCCTTGACCAAAATTTATTCAAGGCATCTAGAAAGCGCTTATTCCTCTTCAAGGAAAAGGTCTTCTCAAACAAACCATCGAATCTCTCCTTTAGCGGCAGAGCCAATGATTTCATGTCGACAGGCTTGAACCCGCCAAGGAGATCGGCACTCTCGGTTTGCTGGGACAAGTTTATGACTGTAAGATTGAACCGCATCATATCTGCCAATTGCTGCACAACCGTCGTCTTTCCAGTACCGGTTTCTCCCACCAATAAGACAGGCTCCGCAAGTCTAATTGCCACACAAATTTGCTCCAATAGTCGCATTGCATGATTTGTAGTCGCAAATGGCCTTGTCTGAGCGTAAACCCTGCGTCGCTTTAGTCCAGCTGGCTCCATTTTTCGTTTCTTGAGCCTTGCTCTCCCAACTACTAATGTTCGTTCAGAGTCGCTGTATCCAGGAATATGACCTCCTTCAAGGAATAGATCGACACGCTGTGAAGGTATATGTATATTACTCGCAACTCTCCTAACAATTAGAGTTCGGGCCTCCTTGGTTTGCAAACTTCCAGCAAAACAATCAACTGCTTCCATGAATATCTCATTGAATACTCCGTCCGATAGTGGCTCATGGCTTGTGGCAACGCCGGCTGAGATGTAAAGGGCATGAACTCTCTTGCACCATTTCATCAAGTCGCGAGGAGATATTGACCTCCCAAGGCTTGTTTTACTGATGGCAAAAAAAGACGATTCTGTGTACGTTTTCTGAACTGCATGATAGACATCCATCAAAGTTGGTGAAATTCCCGCCAGCAAGGGAAATCGTGAATCTATTATGGTGTTCAATTCCTCCCCAGAAGGCATCTCCACATCTACCCTCTCCCAGAGCTGACTTCCAAGACTGCTCATAACAACCGTATCTGGTCCTGTTGACGGTGCAGTTCTGATAGTAGCAATTAGTTTGAAACCACGAGCCGCCGTGATCGTCTCTCCTCTTGAAGGGATGATGAGTTCGCCCCGTTCCATTAACGGGAGTAATACACCCAAAACGTCTTTTGGCGCTTGATCAATATCCTCTACAACAACCCATCTACCCTCCCTCACAGCAGTTGTCAAAACCCCCGCTCTCCATTCAAAGTTGCCTGGGGCATCCGTAGTGGTATAGGCTCCAATTAAAAGCTTCGCATCCGTCTGGTCCCCAAGATGTATCGAAATCATGTCATCTATATTAAGAACTTGCGCAATCTGGTGAACAAAGTACGTTTTTCCAGAGCCAGATTGCCCAGTGATAAGCACAGATCGTGGAGAGCGGAGCGCTTGGGCAATTGAGCTAATGTTCTTCCGAGTAGTGTGCGTGTCGACGACACTCGAGGATTGCGAAGGAAGTCCTAAGATATTTGTGAGCGAACTAGGCACCCCCCCCTCATACAATAGCGCACCATACCTCGAAGCCTAGGAACTAAGACCCCACACAGATCAGCCGTCAATGGCGATAGGTCACTAGAATTAATCACTCGGGGATGCCCCGTGCTCATTTCTAGTTGGCTGTTTCTAAGTCTTGCTGTCTTTAAATCCGCTGATAATTTCTCTAGCCTTTCGCCTTCCAGCAGCCTAGGACAGCAAGTATCAGTAAAATCCCCCGAAACAGTCGTGAGAACACTCCTTACATTAAAAATCCATAGTCTATCTCTTTACCTTCCCATAGTCCAAGTACCTTCTCTTGCGCAATACCTCCAACTCCGAAATTGAAAAACATTAACTCCTGTGCGCGATCCGCAGCCTTCAAATATATCGACAATATTCTAACCGAGAGATACCGAATCGGTAGGCATTCATGCCTCATAAGCCCAAACAAAACATCCACGTTAACGAGCCCCAGAAAAGCCTCCCTTCTGAAGCACAGCAAACGATGAAGCGACAGCAACATATCAAGTAATTTTCCGCCATGGCCCACCGTCAATAGCTCCTCTAGATGCAATTCATCCGACAAACGCTTCATCATGGTCAGAAATTCGGGGGTAGTTCCTCCTGGGCTAGAGCGCAGTAGAAACTCTTCAGCAATGTCCGCCAGGAACGGCATTACCGGGAGTACTCTTGCAAACCCCGCCGCAAGTTGTTCCACCGTAGCAAACCCCCGCCATCTTGCTGCAAGGTCGGCAAATATTGGTTCATAGCAAGTAAGTATTAACGAAGTGAAATTGGAATTAACTGCAATCTTGGAGAGGGTATCAAGGTAGAGGCTATTATCAGCCTGGGTTGAGGTGGAAATAATCGAAATTGTGTCCGGCGGAAGAGATGATATTAGCGGCGATGATAGGAATCTTCGGTCGAATTTTGAGCAATCCATTTTCACTCAGCACTGTGTTGCCGCGAAAGCGAGGGAAAAGCACCTTTGGTGAGTGAGAATTCGTCCGCAGCGTTTGCCTAGGAGTTGATTTCCCAGAGGAAAGAAAAAATGGCTTGGCCTATATAGACCGATATGCTTTGCGGCTCTAAACCTGTATGGTACTTGTACGGTTGTACCACCAGCACCAAGCGCATAACCAAGGGGCAAGGGTACTGAATGTTGCTTGGCTAGCTTGGCAACGATCACTTTGTCACCGAACTTTACGAAGTATGATAGTCTACAATATTTCCAGACGGATCTGACGTCTGGTTTTGGCCGATCTGGTTAAGTATTCTAAGCCCTGATTTGCCATAAGTGATGTCTCACAAACCAGAAATGCTCACACAATTCCAACTCTAGAGGATCTTAAACCTACCAAAAGTACTCAAGTACGGGTAAGGTTCTCGCAATTCTCGCTTACGTAAAGTTAAATAATATCGGCTCGTTGCTTGTTTGACCGTGAAATCCTCTGACAACTGTCAGGGGGTACATAACCCTAACCCATGAAGAACTTCAACTTCGAGCTTCAAACTCCAATTCTGCCTACGCCCCTCCGACCCCACCTCAACGCTCGAATCGCACGAGGATCAGGAAATTGTCGCCCAGATACCCCACACTAAGGCACCGAAAATCTGCAGAATGTACCCAAGGCTGCGAGCCCTGACTTCAGTGTCGAAGACTAGTCCGAGAAAACCGGTCCTTAATTTCTGCCGGACATATGCGGCGAGCTCTAAGGGAGCGGGGAAGAAGGGGAAGAAGGATGACAAGAAAGCGAAGAAAAAGAAGGGAGGAGGTGATTTCATTCAACACGACTTGAAGGGTGCCATGCAATTCAGTCTCACGGAGGCCATGCGATACATTCGAGCAATGGAAGTTGGACGGGACCCTATCAGTGTCAAGTACGATCTCGCTGTCCGACTCAGGACACCAAAGTCGTCCCCGATTATCCGGAACAGGATACGACTACCCACTCCTGTTAAGACTGATAAGAGGGTTTGCGTGATCGCAGAGGGGGAGCAAGCCGAGGCTGCACGGCAGGCTGGTGCTGCTATCGTCGGGACTGATGCAGTCTTTGAGCGGGTTGGTGGAGACACCCTTTCCCGTCCTTAGCTTGGTCGTGCTAAGCTTTCGCGCTGACAGTCGGTCTCTAGATCCGGAGAGGGAACTTGGATTTTGAACTCTGCATTGCTCATGAGGATTCCTACGGGGCTCTCTTGGCTACGAAGCTAGCGAAAGTACTCGGTCCTAAGGGTCTCATGCCATCCGTCAAGTTTGGCACAGTTGTAAAGAATACTGGCGCCGCCATTAGAGATCTCGTTGGAAAATCCGACTACAAAGAGAGGTTGGCCGTGGTTCGATTGCCGATTGGCCAACTTAGATTCACCGAAGCACAACTTGCCGAGAACATCAAGACTTTCCTGAGCCATCTAAGGAGGGATATAGCTGCACTGGATAATGTCACGAAAACCATCCATGAAGTAGTTTTGAGCTCAACGCACTCCAGCGGGTTTTCTTTGAATGGTTGGATCAAGCCAGAGGCGACGAGGGGGGCCCCGGAAAGCGAGTAATAAGCAGTCCCTATCGACCAGAAAAATTTAAAACATTGTCTCTTTTCTTCCTTTGGCCAGATAAACATCCCTTGTGTAATTGTAAGGGGTTCGATGCGGAAGCTCAATGCATGTATAATACAGCTAATCGTCGCGGGCATGATAACACAAAGGTAGACATCCCCATCTTTTAGAATCCCTTTCTCACCAGAATTTCGTTTTATTTTTTTTGTGTGAGGAGCCCCAGGAACTCGGAGCGAAGAACCATGCTCGGAGTCCGAAGAGTAATCAACCTATCGCTATATATATGCTTGGCTTGCGCTGATATACTGCCGATGTTGTGAAGTTTTTCTGATACAGGGCAGCATGCATATCTAGGCCTTTGTCCACATTACACATTACCGCTCAATCCGTTACCTCAACAACATGATAGGATAACAATCGATACTACCCTCCCCACTAACCAGTGATTCTTGCTCAAAGAAGTAGCACTTGAAGCAAGGAGAATCACAGTTGTCATACCCGGTGAGTATCTAGGAGTACGAATCCCTGGGGGAAAGTTGTTTTCTTTCGGGATTTATCAATTAAGGCCAAGCCAAATGCCCAGGAATGCCTAGAAATACCCATGAACGCCCAGGAATGCCGAGAAGCGTGCCCAGAAATTCCGTTGAACAAGGAAGTTCTAGGCGTCATTTGATCCCCAATCACTACCGGAAACGGATATTCCCGTTGTGGATCTCATCGTTCGGATTGGATATCAATTTACCCTTCGAGAGAGAGAGAGGCCCGGATACAATACGTGAGTGCTTTGCCGGGAACCCCCCCGAGAATCTGATGTTGAGAGCCACATTTGACGTCGGGAGGCTTTTTCCTTTTTTGCCCCCTTTTCACGATATCCCTCCCTCCCTCCCGGTTCTTATTGAGAGGATCCTGCCGACATCCCGAGAGATCAGAGCTATCAGACGAGATTGGGCTACTGGCACAGTGTTGACATCCAGCTCTAAGAGCAATACGCAGAAAGGCAATAATAGGAGAGGGGGAAGACTATGGCACCATGATGCAATTTAATCTAACCCCAACAAGAGCTCTCTAAACCCTTTTACATACTAACTTCGTTTTTTTACATGCTACTACTCGTAGAGTATATCACATTGTGCCCCACGGTAAAGAAGCGTTCTTTTGTTGACTTCGTGCGGACCTACAGGCGAGGCAGACCTTTCCTAGCCTATTAGACTCTTAATATAGTACACCCATGATATCCCTACCCATAAACTATCCATCCCCCCTCCAAGAGCTCCCGGCCGAGATAGAATCCAAGACCTTTGATAAGGAAAAAAGTACGAGAGTTGAACGCCATTAGCTACGAATCTGCCCTTCAGAACCAATTGCCAAGGTGTGAACCCACCTCACAGCATTTTTTTTTTGTGGGACTTGCATCATTTCTCTTGGAGCTTTGGCTTGGGAGTTCTTGGAACTCTTGGAAGTGCTTCTGGATCGGTAGAATGGCTCTGGGGGGGGGCGAATATCCTTGATATCGGCGGTTATGAGTAACTTAGTTGGTATAGGCTGACATCCTGAAGGTTTTATCAATTTTCACTTTTCACTGGTATGAGTCTTAACCTCTATCTTTTTCCTCGATGGTGTCGGTTTGAGTTGACTAAAAAAACTTGCCTGGTGGGGGGAACCTGGGCCTGTGGGTTTATATGATATAGTCTACCATGGGGGTAGGCGAGCTGCTTTGGAGCCAGTTCTGGGCTTGCTTATTCTGAACCTTTTCATGTATAAATACGCTTCCGTCCCCCCCGCCTCTCTCTTCTTTCCTCTCTTTCCACCACCAACCCTACAAACCTTGTAGACTACCAGCTATGGCCCCAAAGAAATCTGGCCCTCGGGGGCCCTCATTCTCCCGGCCACCTTACCAGCTCTCCGCTGATGAGCTTGCCCAAGAGCTCGGGACAAACCTTGAAACAGGGCTTTCCCCCTCCCAGGCCAAACAGGGCCTCGACCAGTATGGCGAAAATAAGCTTGAAGGGGGCGAAGGAATTCCAGTGTGGAAGGTATTAATCAAACAGATCAGCAATGCCATGTGAGTGTCTTGTGCTCTGATATTGTCTATTGTTTGACTTGGGTTTGACAGCTAACGTGTCTTAGGATTCTGTATGTCTTAAACAAACCTCCTTTAATCCTAATGCTGGCATACACTAACCAAAGAATTAGGGTACTTATCATTGCCATGGCTCTGTCCTATGGAGTCAAAGATTGGATTGAGGGTGGCGTTATTACTGCCGTTATCTTTCTGAATGTCACCATCGGCTTTTTCCAGGAATACAGAGCGTAGTTGCTCCCTTCCCCACCACCGTCGACCGGCAGAGCTAACACTCAATTCCGTTCGTTTAGCGAGAAAACTATGGATTCTCTACGAAGTCTCTCTAGTCCCACCGCCGCGGTTTTGCGAGATGGAAACCTCGATCATGTTGCTAGTATTACGGTCGTGCCTGGTGATATTGTTGAGCTTAAGACTGGAGACGTTGTCCCCGCCGATTTGAGACTTTTCGAAGCGATGAATTTTGAGACAGACGAAGCTCTCCTCACGGGAGAATCTCTTCCTGTCCCCAAGGAACCCGAACCCCCAATTGAAGGTGAGGTTGGTGTTGGCGATCGAACAAACATGGCTTTCTCTTCGTCCACTGTTGCAAAAGGCCGCGCCCGTGGCATCGTGACTGGTACTGGAATGGCTACCGAAATTGGTGCTATTGCCGAAACTTTGAAGGGTAAGACTAAGAAGCCAAGCAGGTCAATGTCTCGAAAGAAGCACGGAAATTTCCAACCTGTGAAGGGGGCAACTCTGAAGACTTGGGATGCTATTGGAAAATTGCTTGGACTTACTGTTGGAACTCCCCTCCAGAAGAAGCTTGCAAAACTGGCATACTACCTCTTGCTTTGCGCTGTTGTTCTGGCAATTATTGTATTTGCAGCAAACAAATTCAGGATTCCTCATGAGGTTGTCATTTACGCAATCTCGCTCGGTATTGTTTTCGATTTGTCCCACCTTGTGATACTGAGTTCCTAATATGACTTTCAGGTATTGCTATTATCCCAGAATCCTTGATTGCCGTCTTGACGATCACAATGGCTGTTGGCATGAAGACTATGGTTAAACGCAAAGTTATCGTGCGCAAACTTGATGCACTTGAGGCGTTGGGAGGTGTGAGCAACATTTGCTCCGATAAGACTGGAACTCTCACCCAAGGAAAGATGATTACCCGCAAAGCCTGGATCCCCGGTTTAGGTATGTACACGGTCGATCGAACCGAAGAAGCCGCAAATCCCACTTCAGGTGTCATCCGCTTTGGAGAAGCACCAGCAATCACATCTGAGCCCAGCGACGCCAACAGTAATTTCGAGCGCCAACAGGAAGCCCTCGATCAATCCCGCTCCGCATTGGCACTTAAATTTGCGGATGAAGCCGAACCGAGAGGGCGCAAGAGAGTTGATCCTGAAGACACTCCGGATGAAAAGGATTTCGAGGATGGTGTTCTCCCAGAGATTGTTCCGGAATTGGAAGCATTCCTTCACTCATCCGCTCTTTGCAATTTAGCGACTGTTAGATTCGATAATACTAAGAAACGGTGGCAAGCCACTGGTGATCCAACTGAGGTAGGAGCTTTCCACCGTCTTTATGGATGGGTTTCCGTTGACAGCTATTTAGATTGCTCTTCAAGTCTTTTGCTACCGCTTCAACTACGGGAAAAAGAAACTTGCTGCAGATGGCTGGAAGGCACTTCAAGAATACCCATTCGACAGCGACGTCAAGAGAATGTCTGTCATATTTCAGGAACCCAACAACGGGCGATATTTTATCTTTGCAAAAGGTGCTGTTGAGAGAATTATTGATCTTTGCACATTTGTTGGTTTTGGAGATAAGCAGGCGCCCATGACCGAAGAAGTGAAACAAGAGATCACTAGGCAGATGACGGTCCTCGCCGACCAGGGTTTAGTAAGCTCTATAGCGGAAGTTTGGGAATCTATGATAGCTAATCTTGGGGCTTAGCGTGTCCTAGCCATTGCTCGCCGTGCCATTGATAGGCCACCAGCAGATTGGAACGGATTTCCTCGTAACGAAGTTGAGCAAAACCTCACGTTGATGGGTCTTGCTGGGCTGTATGACCCACCTCGACTTGAGACCAAGGATGCCGTTAGAAAGTGCACAAACGCCGGCATCCAGGTTCATATGTTGACTGGGGACCATCCAAGCACCGCCCGGGCCATTGCCCGTGAAGTTGGAATCATCCCCGCTGATTTCGGATCACTTCCTGCGGATGTTGCGCAGAGCATGGTAAAGACAGCAGCAGAGTTTGATGCCTTGACCAACGAAGAGGTTGATCAACTCCCGGCTCTGCCATTCGTTATTGCCCGATGTGCGCCAAATACCAAGGTTCGAATGATTGATGCTCTTCACCGCCGTGGCCGATATGCAGCGATGACGGGAGATGGTGTCAATGATTCCCCAAGTCTTAAAAGAGCTGATGTTGGAATCGCTATGGGTCTTGCAGGCTCAGATGTTGCGAAATCGGCATCTGATATTGTGCTCACCGATGACAACTTTGAGAGTATCGTCAACGCTGTCGAAGAGGGTAGAAGAATGTTTGACAACATTCAGAAGTTTATCCTTCATCTCTTGGTTTCCAATGTCGGAGAAGTCATACTTTTGATCATTGGTCTTGCATTTAGAGATCGAGATAACTTCTCAGTGTTCCCACTCGCGCCTTTGGAAATCCTCTGGATCAACATGCTTACGAGTTCCTTCCCTGCTTTCGGGTTGGGTTTGGAAAAAGCTACTTCGGATATCATGAGACGCCCTCCCCACGATACCAAAGTCGGTGTCTTTACCAAGCAGATTCTAGTGGATATGGTTGTATATGGTACCATTATGGGAACTTGCTCGCTCTGTACTTTCGTCATTATCGTCTATGGAGTCGGAACCGGAAATCTTGGTGTCAACTGCAACTCCAGATACTCTTCCGAGTGTGACCTTGTTTTCAGGGCTAGAGCTGCTGTCTTTGCGCAGTTGACATGGTTAATCTTGATCTCAGCGTGGGAATTCAAGAGCATCCGACGAAGCATGTTTAGATTTGATCCCTATCAGGCCGAACATAGGTTTCCATTCTTTAGAGACGCGAGTACTCCCAAAGTCTTTCCATCTTAAAACATTATACGCTAACTCGTAATAGGTTTACCGAAACAAGTTCTTGTTCTATGCTGTTGTTATCGGCGCAGTCTCAGTTTTCCCCGTTGTCTATATCCCTGGTCTCAACACCGGTGTCTTCAAGCACAAAGGTATTACTTGGGAATGGGCACTCTCCTTTGGCGCAATTCCCGTCTTCGTCTGTGGGGTTGAGGCATGGAAGTTCATCAAGCGAAAGTACGGATTGTTCAACAACCGCGAATCCGACAGAGTCAAGAAGGACGCCTCACTGAGTCTCCGACAAGGGTTCTTCACTATGGCAAAGACTATGACCCGAACTAGTTCTGCGGGTATATCTCGAAGCACTACTGTGGAGAAGCGATCGCCAGTTAAAGGTGATGAAATGATTTGAAAGTTTTCCCTTCTGAGAGCCATCAATATGATCTATGAATCCTCTTCTTTATTTTTCTTTACATCGTTTTTTTCACATGAGATCAAAAAAAAAAAATTTGAGGGGTTATTTGCACTTGCTTGGGTCCTTTTGGCTTCATGGTTCGCATTTTCCTTTTGTGATTTCTTGCCAACGAAGAATGACGGTTGGTATGATATTTAATATTTGGTGCTAGTGCTCTTAGACTAGAGGGCTTAATTAATGAACGATACCGATTATTTTCATGCTGCAATTGCGATTTGTGTGTATTCATGTTATATATTATATACTTCACGCGTAATGCAGTTTGATGACGGAATTTATGGAGATGGGCGTGAGGTGCTGTGAAGTATCGGGTTAGCAGATTTCATTATAACATTGTGATCACCATTATTACCTCCATTCAAGAGGTTCAGGGCATCACTAGCAATCACTCGTGAGCGAGCAAACAAGCCTGCTCCCCAACAACCAAGAGGTAAACGTAAACGCATATCATAAATTAAGCGGCCATCCTAGCTGCCAACTCCTCCCTGATCAATCCAATCTCTCTACACTTTCTCTGCCCCTCAATCCAATCCAACAGAGACAAAAACTCGGCGTAGAAAGCCTCTAGGCCGCCCTTCCCTCCCTGCCGCCCGCCAGCCACCCTCCTAGCGTTCGTGGGATAGATAACGTATCCGCCATGCTGTAACATTGGCAAATCAAACTTAACCCCAGTCCTCCTCCCGCAGAAAACAGTATTCTCGACGAAGAAGGGCGGTACATAAACCAATTCCCACTTCTCTACCCCCATCCCCCAGTCACCATTAGCACAAATCCCCGGAAGCGCAAGCTGAGTGGGAACATACGACCATCCCCGAAAATCTCCCCGCCAAGCCTAGTCAGCAACCCCACGACGCGCAGCGCAAGCTTCAATCCGTCCCACACGATCTGCGAGAGCGCGACCAAGTCCTCTTCCACGTGCGCGCCTGCCAGCATCTTGTCACCGATGGCGTTGACGCTCCGGACCCATCGCGTCTCCAGTTCTTGAAGGTCTCGTGTCATGTACTTTTGCAGGCGCTCGTGCAGGTCTGCCTGCGTGCTAATTGCGCGGAAGTAGTTTGAGGAGACGGAGATTTTTGTGGGTTCCATCATTTTGGCTTTTTGGCTTTGGCCGTTTGAGCAGCGTGAGAGGAAGGGAGGGGTGGCAGATATATATACTCAACTTGAGTATCAATAGGCTTGGGCGGAGGAAGTGCGGAGGATCTCCTGATCCCCAAATGTGAGGAGACAAGTGTGATTTCTAGAACCGGTGTTTCTCTTTTGCAGAGGGGGGGGGGAAAGTGCACACAGGCAGGCAGCTACTCGAGTAGACTAGACTAGACTATCTGTAGTTCCGTACTTCTCCCAAGGAGGTATGATACTGGATTTCGTACGAGCACAGCATAGCCTAACCCATGACGAATATACAAGTGCAAGCACCCGAGCGCTTTTGCAATAAATCCCGGACCCAAATCCCCCCCTTTCAAAAGGAACTCAGTCCCACCCTATAATATCCCACCTTTCCAATCCACAAAGTTATTATATCATACGTCCATCCAGCCAGACGATACCGCTAGTAGACTAAGGGTACAAAAGACCGCAATATTTAGGTCACGTCATACCTCGCCACCCTTGATGCCGTCACATAACGCCAATGTTAAAATGGGCACGTGATTGTTATTTCAGTGGCACCTTTATTTCCACCATAACTGATCATGTGGGACCCCGTAAGGAAGAGGTACAGTAACTTAAAGCATAAATTTAAGTCTAAGTTACGCAGTTGGGGACATTGGGAGTGTGTGCGTTCGGCCGGATTTACCCTTTGGTGCGGGGGGTATATTCGGGTTTCGTCGGGTGAGGTGGTGAATGGGTGGGTGGTGGTCGTGGTGAGGGTGATAATGCTGAAAGTTTAGTTGAGGAGACATAGGCAAAAGACACGGTAGCTAGAACCATTGCGCGGGTTCAATAATAATTTCTTGAGGAAGAAGAACCTTTGGAAAGGAGTCCAAAGTGTCTGAGATAAATAGTGGAATTTTCGCCGACCCCTACGATACTATCTGCTCCGTACAAGACGCGAGGGGGAGAGGAATTTGAAGTGGTGGAGGGGCTGTTGAGATGTACAGTACCCTTTGTATGCGGAAATCCCTTAAGACTGTCTTGGCCGGTGCCGTCGGGGGAGGGGGCCAAGATGCGAGAGAGCGTTATCACTACGATACGAGTACCAGTCTACCCCCCAGATTGGCAGAAAAATCCGAAATGTTATTCTAGATCTTAGGGCACTCTTTTTCTTCCTTTCCTTCCATAAAATTTCTTTTCTAATTGAACACGTTGAATTTTGCCGCATCGAAAAAAGTCCCAGTTTCATTCAGCACACCCCAGGTTCTGTCGCCCCGTTGAGCAGATCCTGTTGGCGAGTGATATTAGGTGACGAGGCGATGGGAGTGTCGGTCGGTAAAAGGCGTTGGGATGGACGAACTCACTGGAGGGAATTGCGAATGTAAGGTGAAGAACCGAATGGTAAAATTTCATTCTTATTTTTAACTAAAATTTCTAATTCCATCTAATCTTACTGAGGTTTATATAGTGTATGAATGTAACCCGTCTACTTAGCACTCGAGAAACTGATATTGAACTCGGTGGGAGAGGTAGCGCAGGTTTATCCACTGGATATTGATGAAAAGCAGCTACGATAGTAGGAATAAGTACAATAAACTTGGCCCATTGGATTACAGACATAAACACAACCCCCTGAATGATGAAAAAAATAAAAAAAATAAAAATGAACAAAATGAACAAAAGAAATTGTAGAAATTACTTACTTGGGTTCTGCTCCCTCCTCTGTAAATACTAGTAGTATCCCAGATTTTTCCACCTCCCACTCCTCTATAATCCAGTTCAATAGTCAGGGAACCACCTAGACGGGGAATTATAATTGGTCAGTAAATCGACATAGTATTCCAAGTTACCTGTTACGAACGTGGCTTAGCATGAAAAAGGTTTTCACGTGACACATGGTTATGAGTCACAGGTATGTTATTGTTTCGCACATATGACCTATTCAGGTTATATGATTTGTTATGTGTGGGATTTGTGATGCTTTCGCACATGGCTCAAGCATGAGTCATGGGACATGCGCCTGACGAGTATGCCTTGCGAGTGTGCCTTGCGGGTAAGCCTTGCGCATATGATTTATGTTTCGCACATGGCCTCATTACGAGGTCATGGGTTTCGTGCATATGACTCAGTCGAGTCATATGACCTGTTTATTGTATTATGATTGGTTTATGAGTTTTGCACATGACCTCGCTATGAGGTCATGGGTTTTGAGCATGTGATCACTTTGGTCATATGACTAGTTTGTTATGATTTGGTTTCGCACATGTGACCACTTTAGGTCACATGACTAAAGGCGGGAAGAACACTATATAAGGAGGCCGATGCGGCCGAGGAAGATAGGTTCTTCACACTTTGTTCTAAGTACTTTTCCTACTTATTACTATAACAAATATAAAACACCTTTAGGATCTTTATCTTTATTGTAACGTTATCGTTGTGCCGAGAAAGGGCTTCAAAGAAGACAAGTTAGAGAAAGCTTACGATAGGCGTTCCCGATAGAAGACAAAGGTCTTGTACTATTGGTAATGTGAGCATAGGCCTATAGCTATCATAAGACAAAGGAAGAAGAAGACAGAAGAGATAAGTATCGTTCTCCGTCGCCAAGAGCTAACTACCTAGAAAGGGATCGTTACATTACAAAGCGTCACCTAAGTGCGACGCCAAACGATACAAGACGGCATCCTTCAATCCAGACAGGGAAGGAGATATCGACATCGACGATCAAAACCTCAACCTAGGAGGATTCAGCGACGCATTAGATCACATCTCAGCAGAACCCTCGAGAGCAGCAAGTCCAGTAACCCCAGAGAAGGGATCCCTAGTCGATAGCTCTCCTGCAGGAACTCCACGACCTGAGAGAATGTCGGGATCTGCAATACCTGGGCCACCGGCCCCAGCCACTCCGGCACCAGGAACCAGCATACTTGGAATGACTGAAAATCAGTTTCAGGCATTTCTCGCAGCCACGCGAAATACAGGACAAGGAAATATCCAACGACCAAAATCAAAGGAACCCGACACATATGAAGGAGCTGAAGATAAGCTACGAATATTCTTAGCACAATGCGAAGGATATTTTGCTGTTAAGGGATATGGAGATCAACACGACGAAATCAAGATTCCATATGTGGAATCCCTGCTCAGAGGACTCGCAGGGCAATGGATCATGCCTTTCCAAGATGGAAGGAAACAGAGGGAATGGGTCACATACGAAGAGTTTAAGGCGACACTCTTTGAACAATTTGGAGATCCCAATGCCAAAGAAACAGTAAGACGAAAGCTAGAAAAACTCCAGCAAGGAAAACAAACGTTCTCAGCATATTGGAACGAATGTCGACTGTTGGAATACGAGGCTGAGTTTGATGATGCGACTCTCTACATCATCCTCCTGAGAAACTGTAGTGAGAGACTCCGAGAGGCATGGGGAATCTCTGACCTGTGCTATACGACAGCCAAACGATTTGCAAGATGGGCAATCGACAAAGAAAGCAAATTAAACATGGTTCGCAGCAACTCGGAAAACACTATAGAACATAGAGTGGTCCAATCATCCAGGAATGTGGACGGGACCTTCAAACCGCAAGCACCTCGAGGAGAAAGTCGAGCATTACCACCAGGTGAACCAATGGAGTTAGACAAGTCAAGAGCAAGGCCTGCTCTGAATCTGTCTAAGGAAGAATATGCCAGAAGGATGAATGGGAAACTATGCCTAAGGTGTGGAAAAGCAGGGCATCAGATACGAGAATGCAGAAGCCGACCAGACAACGGATACCAGGGAAACAGAGCTGCTGGAAATAATTGTTTCCAAAATCAGAAAAGAAGCAATATCCGCGAAATGATAGCAGAGGATTCACCGGCGGAAAACAACGAGGGTCCCCAGTAAACGGTGGTCTGGGAGACCCAAGATGTGGACCTGGAAAACCCATCAAATTAGTGAACTACTACACGGCACTACACACGCAAAGAGGAGAAGAAGATGGAGATCATGTGATGATCAAAACGAAGATATACAACAGAGAAAGCGAAGAAACAACAATATATGCAATGCTCGACTCGGGGGCCACCGAAGACTTCATCGACAAAGAAATATGCGACAAATACGGCCTTCACACCAAACGAGTGAAGAAAGCAAGACAAGTCTACTTAGCGGATGGAAAACCAAGCGCTATGGGTCTGATAACCCATACGGCAACAGTACCCATGGACATTGACAGCCATAGGGAAACGGCAACCTTTCAAGTGGCAGATCTGAAGAACCATGAGATAGTCTTAGGGATGCCATGGTTACGGAAGCAGAATCCGACGATCGATTGGAACGAGAACAAGATGACCTTTACAAGCGAACTATGTATGACACAATGTCTCAACAGTTCACCTGTGGTCTACTCAATACCGATACGAGAAGCGGAAGAAGAAACTTTACATGAAAAGTTTACCGAGATGCGGCAAGACAAGAGAGTCCGGATACAAAGACTGGACCAAGAGGCAAAAGTGCCTACCAAGAGTTCCAAAGGGGCAGCAGGACACGACCTATATGCCAATAAAGGAATCAAGATACCTGCCAACGGGCAGGCAACGATAGCAACGGGAATAGCCATTGGAATCCCAGAAGGCACCTATGGACGAATAGCACCCCGCAGTGGTCTAGCAGTCAAACACCGACTCATGACCATGGCAGGGGTGATCGACGTCGACTATACCGGTGAAATCAAAGTGGTCCTGGCCAACCTAGCTCAAGAGGACTACCAAGTCCAGAAAGGCGATCAAATCGCACAGTTGATAATCAAAAAACTCAACGAAGAGGATCTGCATGAAGTAGATCAACTGGAAGAAACCATAAGAGGAAACAAGAGATTTGGAAGTACGGACCAAAACCAGCTCGATACAACAAAAAGAATCGAGATCAAAGAGATTACAGCACAAGCCTTTGGACGATATTATTGAAGAGGAGATACAACAGGAATTCTCAAATGGACATACCAAGACGAAAAAGCGGT